CACCACGGGGGAGAGCTGGCGGTCTAGCGTTGTGGTGGAGAAAAGAGCTTCAGGTGCAGGTATCAGTTAAAAATGAACATTTATTTGATGGATCGTGCCTAGAACCCAACTGTCCTATCCCTTGGCATTTTTCCTTCATTTATGGTTGCCCAGTGCAAGGAGAGCGAGCTCGATTTTGGGTTGATTGTCAAAGTCTAAGAAGAGATAATGGAATCCCTTGGCTCGTTATGGGGGATTTAAATGCTTTGCTTAGCTACGCCGATAGAAGGGGGAAGGGTCCAATCTCGGTATCCTCCTTCTCTTGCTTGGAGCAATTTATGGAGACTTGTGAGTTGTAGGAAATTGGATTTAGGGGCAATCCTTATACCTGGACTAATAGCAGATCAGGTCCTGCAAATGTCCAACATCGTCTTGATAGAGCCCTGGCGAACTCAGACTAGGTCCGGTGCTACCCTCACGCGCAAATTCTTCATGAGCTTAAGATCGGATCAGACCATAGCCCACTGATTTTGTGCTCTAATGCTTTCCCCAAGCCCCCTCGGAAGTTGTTCATTTTGAATTGAAGTGGACCCTAGAGAATGGTTATCAAGAGTGCATCCAGAATGGTTGGCAGGTGCATATTACTGGTTCAGAGCAGTATAAGGTAATGGGTAAATTGAAGAATTGTCGTGCTGATCTGCTCTCTTGGAGCAAGAAGTTAAGGGGCAATCCCGAGGGGGAAATTAAGTTTTTGCGTGAGCAATTAGACTTTATGCAGAATCAAGAACCAAATGATGCTAATATGTCGCACCAAAAAATGCTAATTCAGAAATTGAATGATTTGTGGGCAAAGGAAGAGGCTTATTGGTTCCAATGATCACGAGTGAATTGGATAAAACATGGGGATAGAAATTCAAGCTTCTTCCATTGCACAGCCTCCAGGAGGCGAAATAGAATCGAATCTTTCAGCTCCAAAATGATGCAGGGCAATTATTGCAGAGCGAGGAAGAGATTTCAACATATGTTTTTCGAAGCCTGAGCTTTCAATTCCAAGCTTGCCCTACAACTGCTGATATGGATATTGTGTTTTCTTTCCCTCAAGTGATCACATCAGAAATGAATAACTCTCTTTGCACAGACATCACACTGGAGGAGGTTAAAGCTGCTACTTTCCAATTAGGAGCCTTTAAAGCACCAGGTCCGGATGGGTTTCCTGGAGTTTTCTACCAAAAACATTGGGACTTGGTTGGTGGTGATGTTCATAAAGCTATCTCAAGATTCTGGGCTACGGTTTTCTGCTGAAGGAGTTCAATAAAACGAATATCATTCTCATACCAAAGGTAAAAAATCCTCAAACCCTCTCTCAATATCGCCCTATATCTTTATGCAATTTCATTTCTAAAGTTATCTCCAGGATAATGGTGAATAGATTACAACCTTTTCTTTCTCAAATAATTTCTCCAGAGCAATCTGCTTTTGTGCCTGGTAGAATGATCCAGGACAATCTTGTTGTTGCGCATGAGGCATTCCACGGTTTTGCTCATAGATGTTATTCTCAAGATGCCTACATGGCACTTAAATTAGACATCCATAAAGCATATGATACGGTGGACTGGCTATTTTTGGAGCAAGTGCTAAGGGCGATGGGTTTCCATGATTGGTGGGTTGCTAGAGTAATGGAGGTTGTTCGATCAACCTCATATTCAATTCTAATCAATGGTAAACCCACCAAAACCTTTTTCCCTGGGAGAGGGCTTCGACAAGGAGATCCCTTGTCCCCATACTTATATCTGCTTGTGGTAGATGTTTTGTCTAAACTTGTATCTCGTGCAGTGAGAGATGGCTCCCTATATGCTTATCGTATAACAAGAAGGTGCCCCCTTATTAGCCATTTGCTTTTTGCTGATGATGCATTACTTTTTTGCAAGGCTTCTGTCAATCAAGCTTCTTTCTTGAAAGAGCTACTCTCTTGGTATGGTGCAATGTCAGGTCAGCACATTAATTTTTCCAAGTTTGCAATTCTTTTTAGCAGAAATACTTCTCTTTCGTTGAAGACTACTATCTGCTCTTTATTTTCTATTCCTCGCGATGCACCTGTGCACAAGTATTTGGGCCTCCCTACTAGTTGGGGAAGATCCAAAAAACAGAGTTTACAATTTGTTATTGAGAAAGTGCAGCAGAAGTTGCAGGCTTGGAAGAAATCGCTATTATCTACAGCTGGCCGAGAGGTTTTGATAAAATCTGTGGCCCAATCAATTCCCACTTATGCTATGTATTGTTTTAAGTTCCCAAAAATGTATGTCACCAATTAAATAGCTTGATGAGTAACTTTTGGTGTGGGCAACGAGATGATAAGTCCAGAATCCATTGGGTGAGTTGGGGGAAACTATCTATAAACAAAACTTATGGAGGGTTAGGATTTAGAGATATTGAAGCTTTTAATCTATCTCTTTTGGCCAAACAGTGTTGGCGTCTTATTCACAATCCTAATAGTCTATGGGTGAAGCTTTTGCGTGCTTTGTATCACCCTCATGGCCATTTCTTGCAGGCTAAGCTTGGTTTCACTCCCTCTTGGATTTGGAGAAGTCTCTTACAAGGACGAGATGTTCTAAAATTGGGGCTGCGGTGGAACATTGGTAATGGTCAAAATGTGTTCCTTTGGGGTCACAAATGGATACCTACCAAGCAGGGATTTCAGGTTTCAACCCCCCAACCACAACATGGCTACAACGTCAAGGTATGTAATTTGCTAACTCCCACTTTCGGGTGGGATTTGCAGAAGCTTAATCTTCTTTTATGCCCTGAAGATGTGAAGGATATAGTACAAGTTCCAGCTGGCCCATCTCCAGACAAATTAACATGGCATTTTACAAGGACTGGGGAGTTCACAGTTCGTTCTGCTTATCACCTTGCAAGGACGAATGGTTTTGGATTGTTTCCATTAACTAATTTCCAGGTCAGTCCTTTTCCCTCCTTTTTGAAATCTATATGGAAGTTGGATGTCCCCCCCAAGGTAAAACTTTTCCTGTGGAAAGTTCTCACTAATGCTTTACCTGTTAAGGCAAATCTTTTTCATAAGGGCATAGTGGAGAGCCCTATTTGTGGTCTTTGTGGTGGGGATGAGGAGTCTATTACCCATATGCTATTCACTTGTCAATACGCTGCTCGAACTTGGTTTGTCTCTCGACTTGCCTTTCATCCTACTATTTCATCTATTTCTGAGATGGTTAATTGGTGGAGTTTTGTTTCCTCCCAATGGGATAAATGTATTCCAAATATAATGGAAGAAACCACTTGCTTGTTCTGGTATATATGGAAAAACAGGAATCTAGGCATTTTTCAAGGCCAAGCAATGCCACCGCAACTGGTTGTTCAGAAGGCCATGTTTCTAGCAGACGAGTTTTGTAGAGTTAATGGTAAAGACCCCCTTATTCCACCAGTGCTACAACTTCGGGATGGATTAGAGGATAAATTACAACGGTGGAGTCCACCACCCGAAGATGTTGTTAAATGTAATACTGATGCAGCTGTGGATGTTAAAAATGGTGTTGCAGGTCTAGCTGTGGTCTGTCGCAACAGTAGGGGTATTCTTGTTGATGGTTTGGCCTTCAAACAATCAATTAGTTCTATTTTAATGGCTGAAACTCTTGCATTAAGAGCTGCAGTAGGCTGGGCAGCTAGGAATGGCCTCAAAGACATCATTTTTGAATCTGACAGCAAAGAGCTCGTGCAAGCTATTAACAAAAAGGTTCATTTGCCTTGGCAAATAGAGCCATTGGTGCTATCCGTGTGGGAGCTGTGCAAGTCTTTCTCCTTTTGTGAATTTAACTATGTATGTAGGAAGGCTAACTCTGCAGCTGATTGGGTGGCCAAAAAGTGCCTTAAGAATTTGTGCCTTGAGAATTTGTGCCCTCTCTACTGGACCACCAATCCACCTACAATGCTACGTAATCTTTTGCGTACTGATGTAAATTATTAATTAACTAATACAAATTCTCATGCATGTTAAAAAAAAAAGTAATTTATGATGATTTTAATTTTTTAAAAAATTTCACTATAGTACATCTATCAGATTTTTTTTGTTATTTAGTAAAAATTTAATTTTAAATCTCATGTAAATGAAAATAT